GGCAGCTTGGTTAGAAGAGGCATGTCACCCTAGGCTGGACCCTAAAGGTTCATCTCCTTCCCTAGCTACTTCTTCCTTCAAAGGAGAAAACCACTCAAATGTTTATCAACTAATGAATAGATAAACAAAATACAGCATATCCATACAATAGTTTTAGCCACAAGAAGAGGAATGAACATGAGTGAACCTCAAAAGCATGCTAAGCAGAAGGTAGAAAAAGGTCATATATTATGATTCAACTTAATGAAAATTTCAGAAGAGATAGAGACAAAAAGTAGGCTAGAGGTTGTCAGCAGCTGAGAGGAGGGAACAATAGGAAAGGAGTGCTTATTGAATATAGAGTTCCTCTTGGGAGAAGAAAACTAAACAGAAGTGGTGGCTGCATGACACTGTGAATTTACTAAATGTCAGTGAACATTAATGTTTAATATGAAAATAAGCAACATTGATGATATATGAATTTTACCTCATTAAAAAAATAATAAATGGCACATGTATCAGAAAAAAACCTGTCCTTATCTGCAAAGGAAATCATTATATACCCACAAAATTAAAAGATATCTACATCATATTCTATATAGCGAATGCAACAAAGTTACAGGACAGGGCTAGGGATTTAGCTCAGTGGTTCCGGCACTTTCCTTGCAAGCACAAGGACCTGAGTTTGATCCCCGGTGCCAAAAAAAAAAAAAAAAAAAACCAAAGTTACAGGACATAAAATAAACTGCACAAACCAACTATATTCTATGTACAAGTGTCTTAGTTACTTTCTCATTGCTGACACAAAATACCCAACACCCAAACTTAAAGAAGTAAAGGTTTATTTTAGCTCACAATTTGAGGAGGTGTCAGTCCATACTCAGATGGCTCTAAGGCAGGGCAGTATGACAGAGGGGCATAGCAGAGAAGAAACAGTCCATGATAGGGTAGACAGAAAGCAGCAAATAGTGAACCTGCTTTTCTTCTGTTCCTTTATATTCTACCCAAGCTACAAGCTTATTGATTAGTGCCACCCACATGTAGGGAGGGGCTTCCCTCTTTAGTAAATCCCTTCAGACATACCCAGAACTATGCTAATCCAACTAAAGGACTAATCCAGATATCAGATAGCCTTAATCCATATCACACACCCTAAACCAGCCAACTCAGAAAAGTCTCACATATGGAGCACATAAGGCTTCAGGGGACATCTAGATAGATACAAGCCATAACAACTAACAATTAACATATGATTGTAATTAAAGATACAATACCATTTGAAAGCAAATACTGTATTTAGGTATAAATTTAACAAAAAAAGCACAAGATTTTATAGGCTGAAAACCACAAAATGCTAATGTTAAGAAACTAAAGATCTTGAGAAACACACTGGACCATTATGGCTTATATGTAGCTGTCTGCACAAAGCCTGGTGTTCTTATTGGTGGGACTTTGAGAGGGTGACTGTGTCATGGACATTAAGGGTATGATAACTGGATTAGCTCGCTGATTGGTTTAGCATTGTTCTGGGTGTGGATAATGGGAAGGCCCACCCTGTGTATGGGTAGCACCAACCAATAAGCTTGTAGCTTGAACGGAATAAAAAAGGAAAAAGAAGGTCCATTGTTGGCTGCTTCCTGCCTACCCTGCCATGGACTGCTTCTCGTCTGCCATACCTTTCTGCCATGCTGTCCTGCCTTGAAGCCAGCTACAGAATGTAATCTCTACAAACTGTGAGCCAAATCAAACCCTTCCTTCTTTAACTTGTGGATGTTGTTCAACAAGAAAGTAACTAAGACAGATTTTGGTACCAGAGAAGTAGGGTTGTTGCTGTGACACTACCTAGCCATGTAGTCAAGAAGCCTTTGGGACTGACTTGTGGGAAAATTTTCAAAAATTTGGAGATGCTGGCTGAAGCAGTCCTAGAATGCTGTTACCTGAGCCTGATGAGAGATTCTGGTCAGAACCAGAAGACCAGAGTGGTGACAAAAATGCAGCTGAAGACCAGGTTCAAGAGCTTTCAGTAGAGAAAAAGGAACATGCTGGCAACTGGACTCCAGTCCATGTGTTATGTTCTAGCAGGAAATTTGTCGACATTTTGCCTGTGTCCAGAGACACTGGAGGAGACTGAGATTAAGGGCAGTAGGCTAATTAATGTGGCAAAAAAAACTAAAAGGCATTCGAATGTTGAGGCAGTAGCATGTGTACTCTTGGGGATTTTAGCCAATACCACCTTGAGAATCAAGAACAAATGGCCCTGCAGAAAGATTTTTAAAGTTTCTTAGTTTGGCCAGAAAAGGAAAAACAAGATGCAGACTGCAAAGATGGAACAGAGAACTTGGTTGCTAAAAAGATTAGTATTAATAACACAAGTACTTCAGAATCAGACAATAGAAAAGATGTCCTGAGAGCATCACAAGAATCAGCAGGACTCTGCAAAAATGAAAGACTTTGCTTTGAGGAGAGAGCCCCAGGGTACCATGTCCCAGAATGGTAGAGAACTAAGAAATTTGTTCCTCTGGACTGGGTTTATTGTGCTCAGCAATCCAGACACTTGACCTCTTCCATCAAAGAAAAATGGAAGCCTGGATACTGCTTCAGTCACCCACATGGTGCTGGTTTTAGACGGATGCAGAATGCAAGAGTTGTGGAGTCAGGAAGGCTTCTACTTGGATTTCAGAAGAAATCCTGGGATGAGAAAGCAGTGTGTGAAACTATGAGTTGAAAGTTGAAAGTGCAGTGGATACCCTGGAAGATCAGAGAAGCCAGGAATATTAACTGTCTGAGGAAAGCTGCAAAGAATGAGCAAAGCTGGCCCAAGAGAGAAGCCATGAGAGATAACCACTGGCAGGGCCATGGGGATGGAGCCACCCAAGGCCTTTGGAGTTCACATCTTGCCACAGATTGACCTGGATGTTGAACATAGACCTGTGGGACCTACTCTTTACCACAGCACGGGGTGGGGGGGCAGTTTGGTCTTGCCTTAGTCCCATTTTTATCTATTTCTACCTTTTGGAATGGGAATGTTTATTTTGTACCATAGTATGTCAGAATGTTTAACTTTATTTCTCTCTTTGTAGGGTCTCACATCTAAGGGTTTGCCATGAATCTCAGAGGAGAATTTGGACTTGGACTTTTCAGCAGGACTTTGGCCACTCTTAAAAATAGTCTAAATACATTTCCCATAAAGGAATGTGCATGAGTCTTCTGGAGGTCAGGTACAAAATGTTATGGTTTATATACAGATGTTCTCCCAAAACCTCATGTGCTCATAAGTGGGACATTTGGGAGGTGTCTGGCTCATGGGTGTGTGATTCTGGATTAAAGGAGTGTGATAACTGGATTAGTCCACACATTGGTTTAGCATTGTCCTGGATATGGATAATGGGAGGGTCCACCCTGAATGTAACATCAACGAAGAGGCTTGTAGTCTGAATGGAGTGAAAAGGGAAAGGGGCACTGTTGGGTGCCTCCTGCCTGCCCTGCCAGAGACTGTTTCTCCTGTGCCATATCTCTCTGCCACTGCCTTACCTTGAAGCCAGCCAACTGTGGACTGTAACTTCTACAAACTATGAGCCAACAGAAATCTTTCCTTCTTTAACTTGTGGGTGTTGGATATTTTGTCTCAGCAATGAGAGAGTAACTAAAATATGTATAGATTGGCAAACAACACGATAAAAGTAACAGTTCTCCCCACAGTGATATACAGATTTAACCCAACTCTTAACAAAATCATGGCAAGATTTTTGTGTATATAAAATTTATATGGAAAAGTAAAGGATCAAAGAATAGCTCAAATAATTTTGAAAGCTAAAAAAAAAAAAGATGCAAAGATTCCATATCATTAACTATTAAGGAAGTATACATTAAGACCATATGACTATCAAAATGGCTAAAAAAATTTTTTTAAATAGTGGTAATATCAAATGATTGTTAAGGATGCAGAGAAACTGGATCTTTCATTCATTGCTGGTAGAATTAGCTACTCTAGAAAATAATATGGCAATTTCACAAAACCAAACATGAAATTACAATATGGTCCACAATTGAGCACTTATTCCAGAAAAAAATGAAAACATAGGTTCACACAAAGTTCTATACATAATTGATTACTGATGGCTTAACAGTACCAAGTAGAAAAAAATCCAAATGTCCTCAGTGAGGAAATGGTTAAACAAATGGCTCATTAAGATGAAGGGCTTCTACTCAGCAACAAAAAGGAACAAACTATTGGTATACTCAACAGCCTAGATGAATGTCCAGAAAACTACTGAGTGAAAAACCACCCCCAGTTACATACTTCATTACTTCATTTAAACATCATTCTTGAAATGTGGATCAAAGAATAGGGAAAGGCAGGAGGGAAGTGGTTATGGCTATAACAGGGCAATACAAGAGATTCTGGATGTTGGAAATGTTCTATTATCTTATTGAAATGTGTCAGTGTACTGACTATATTTCTTGTACACGGTTTTGCAAGATGTTACTGTGTTAATCAGATTTACACTACTATAACAAATTATCTAAGAGGGGCTAATGAAATAAAGAGATGTTTATTCTGGCTCACAACGATGGATATTTAAGTGCAGGATCAGACTGCTGTTACAGCACATAATAGCATGTTGGAGCTAATGTTCACAGTACAAAATAGGAATCAGAAAAGTAGAGAGAAAAGTTGATGTTAGCATGCTGCTAAGGACCTAAGGACCTCCCAATACCACTATCCACTACATATGGGCCTTTAGGAAATATTTATAGCAGCTACCAGTAGGAGGAACGGGCGATGGGTATGAGATCTCTGTGTACTACTTCTTACAATGGCATTAGAATCTACAGTTCACACAAAATAAATATTAAGGATTGTTAAAAATGGTATTATCTCAAAATAATTTTTAAATGGCAGTCCTCCCAAAGAATTATCAACCAAATCACTTGCTACCAGATTTTAGTGTTTTTAATTTTCTTGTTGACAAGTGATTTAAAAAAAGCACACTCTAGCAACTTAGTATGGAAACACTTACCAAGTTCTTGTGATACCAACTAGAAGCTAGAGAAATAGGCAAAGATGTGGATGACGATGTAGATTTGGAGAATATGTTTCCAATGATGTTGAATAAGAACTTGTCTTATAGTTACTTTCTTGTCAGCCAAACACAATACTCAACACCTGCAAATTAAAGGAGGGAAGTTTGCTCACACTTTATAGAGGTTTCAGTCATAGTCAGCTGGCTCCAAAGCAGTATGTATGACAGAGGAGTACAGCAAAAGAGGGTTGAGATCAAGGCAGGAGGGAGACAGACCCTATCAGGCCATGCCATCAGTGACCTAGCTCCTATCATCAGGCTTTACTTCCTAACATCGCATTTAGTTAAACTAAATGTAGACTAACCCACTGATAAGTACCACATGCCCACGATCCAATCACCTCTCAAAAGCCTCACCTATGAGTTCAGGAGACTTTGGGGAAACATCTAGATATAAACCATTAAAAGAACTACAATATGAACTCAAGATATTCCACACAATGTCTTTATTCTTGTCCATGATTGTAAATATTTCTAAACATGATCTGATCAGAGGACCAATCTACTACTTCCTCCTTCTCTGTCATGTTGCCTGGGTAGAAAGAAAAGGGGGAAAAGGAGAACATGATATATAAGGACATGCCACACACACATTCACTCTTCTCTTGGAACTACCCTGTTGCAATTCCCGTAAACATGAACACCTTAATGGAAGATAAGAATAGCAAAGGCAGCTTACTAACACTTCCAGCTGCCAAACCTCCTCTTGTTATAAGGAAAGCTGTGCTGCCCTCTCACCTCATCCGCTCAATTCTAATCTCCCTCAGGCTTCACTGAACCCATGACTCTATCAACTCTCCCTGTTCCTATTCCAGAAGCATTTCCCAAAAGCCTCTTTGCCTTTAAAACACACTAGTCTCCTCTTTGCTGGAGTCTTGCCATGGTAGTCATAATCCCAGAAAACCAACACGGAATGAATTTAATTAATTTGTAAATGGTCTTGCATTCCAGGAAAGCTCTCTTGTATGCTTAATGGTTAGGTTACTTCTAGAAATTAGAGGTTCAGTTTATACCCAGAAATTTAATATTAAACTATTATTCACACCAACTATACAAGAATTCCTTTCACTTTCCACCTGTTAATGTATCTTGCTGATCTGGCTTTAAGCTAAGAGTCAGCAAGTAAAGCCTGTAGGCAGTCAAAAAAGTATCGAATGGATGCTAGGGCAATCTCAAGGGTGACAATGGCCTCTCCTTTGAGAGGGTTGATGTGGCTGACAAGTTGCTGGTCAGGTTCCCCAACTTCCATTTCACCTCCAGGCCCTCTGCTTCCAAAGCTTAGAATGGTAGAAAGAGATTATCTGCTTTATTCAAACCCACAGTCTCACATTCAGTTCTAACCAATTTAGTTGCTTTCTAAAGAGAGAACTTTATTCATTTTACAGCCATCTGTGGAATGTCTTTGAAGTGCTAGGGACCTGGACATAAAACAGTGACCCATATACAGTGACTTCTGCCCTCCTTGACTTTGAGAAAAGAGAAAGGTCAGAGAATACAAATTAAAATAATTGTAAATGAAATAACTATATGTATAATTGCTCACAAGAACATAGTTGAGGATCTTGCATTTTATCAAGATGATAAAAAGCAATGATCCTTTCCGGTCCTGTAGATACATAAACAAAAATCTCCAGCCAGGCATGTTGGTACACATCTGTAATCCCAGGTAGTGCAGAGGCTGAAGCAGGAAGATCTCAAATTCTAGACTGACCTGGGAAACTTAGCCAGAACATTTTAAAATAAAGTTTTAAAAGGGCTGGGTTTACAGTTTAATGTTACAGCACTTGCCTAGGATGAGTGGAGGTCCTCAGTGAAACAAGAAAGGAGAGAGGGAAGGAGAATGAGAGAGTAGAAGAGAGGGGGAAAATGGAGGGAAGACATAAAAGGAAAGGGCAGAAATCCCAGATGCCAGCTTATTGTCACCTCTTTATGTTAAAAGCTAAATGCTAGTCAGTTGTAGTGGTGCATGCCTGTAATCTCAGCACTTGGGAGGCTGAGACAGGAGGACTGCTGGGAGTTCGAGACCAGCCTGGGCTTAATAGTGAGTTCAAGGCCAGCATGAACTACACAGCAAGACCCTGTCTCAAAATAATAATAATAATAATAATAATAATAATAATAATAATAATAATAAATTTAAATTTGTTTAAAATAAACAAATCCCCAGAGTAGAAGAGCCAAGTAGAGAGAATTAAGGTGACATTTCCATAGATGCGGATCACTTAGAAGTGAGGAAAGGAAGCAGAAAACCATGTTTTTTAAAAAAGCACACCTTCAGCTATTTTGAAATTTGGCCTATGGTGGACTCTGAAACAAGAAAAGTCCTCTCTCTTCTCCTTGTCAAGATTACCTAGCACTCTGCTCCCTGAAAGCCACAACCCCACTCCCACCTTACTTCAGTTGTATAAACAACTTTTGTAGATTTTAATCTGGGCACAAAACCATATGTAGAAAAACCGTTTTAGGAAAGTGAAGTGTATTATGAACAACCAATAAATCAAACCTATTTGAACTAGATAGAGACCTGTGCCTGGTTCATTTCAAAATTTCCATTAGCTTTACTTTCTACAAGTTCTAGCTCCAATCAAAACTCAGCCACAACAACTGATCTCTGACAAATGATAGGGAAAATTACATTACCAAAGGTCTCTAATATTTTCAAATCTGACCTCAGTACTGATCTGCCCATAAAAGGACAAAAATACCTTTGAATTTTTGCTGTAGAAGGAACTTGGCCTATTTCTTGTTTGTCTGGTTTTTGTTTTTTCCTTTTCCAATGCTGGGGATTAAACCTAAGAGCATCTACCACTGAGCTACACCTTCAGCTACACTTTTTTTTAAAGTCTCTGCCCAGTCTGACCTCGAACTTGTGATCTTCCTGCCCCCTAACTACGTAGGATTACAGGTATGGAAACCTACATTTCTTACATTTCAAATGCAATTTTCCCAAATTTAACTCCAAAATCTTTGTTAATTTAGTTTTGCTTTCTCAAAAAAAAAAAAAAAAACAATTATTCAGAATGGTAACTCTAGATTTGTCGCCTACAATTAAAGTTTCACTTCTTCTCAAACATTGCATAAAGCCTAACCTACATTAAATTAGTAACTGGCATCTGAAATCTTCCACTCCCTTCATTTCTGAATACTTAACACCTGGTAAAGGGAGGTTGAGGATGTCAGAAAGGTTGGAGATCTGTTGTCCAGGCCTCTTGCCACAAATTAGGAATTCCAAAGAAATAATTTCTTTCCAGATAAGCCTCTGTAACAACCTTGCTTAGACATCCATCCCACCTCATCATCTTTCCTCAAAACCCTGATTACTTCCCATCTCAATTAGTGTAAGTCCAAGTCTGCAGAACGACTACTGACCTCTGCATCATGTGGACAGCTCCCTACCTCCTTAACTCTCCAGCTTTTCTTGCTATGGTCTCCCTCCTTTCCTATTCCGTGTTCACACCTTTCTCCGCTTTCTCTCCCTTCCTGGTGGAATTCCCTCCAAACATCACCTTCTCTCAGCACCTCCTTCCTATTCAAAACTTCCAGCCATCAACTCCTAAAAATACTAACTTAACTGTATTAGCCATTATTCCACTAACTGCATGATTAATTCCATTCCTGCAGGTATTCGTCTGGTCCACTGCTGTCTCCCCAAGGTGCAGAACAGAGCAGTGCAAGTTAGCCAACAGGAGTTCAATAAACATCTCATAATGAAGAGAGTCAATATTCTGAAAAAGGTCTGCTGCCGTTCTCACCCAAATTTTCGGTCAAGTCGAGCTGCCTGCCAGTCTCAACACACCAGATAAGCACCACAAACACAAGTGTAAGAGTACAGCACTGAAAGCTCAAGGTATATGAGCAAGTCAAAGAATGCGTTAAAAGTTCAAAAAGGCCTAACTGCTCCCGTGAAGCTCACCAGGATCCCTTCCTGGAGCGTCTCCCCTACATCCTGGGACGTGACCAGACCTGAGAAGTTACTTATGCAACTTACAGCCTCTTCACGTCGGTTATAAAATGTAAGAGGCAAAACGAAAAGCGCTGTTGTTCAGCCTCAGGCCCTCTCCTTTTCCCCGGGTGCCGCCCTCCACAACTGCCAGAGTGCAAGCTGTCCGAACAGCTGACCTCTTTCCTACAGCGCCGAGATCGCCGAACTTCCGCGCTCCCTACCTCCTCCCGGCTTCCCCTGCGGCTCCCGTGAGCGCGTGCGTGCTAAGGCTCTCGTGGGTTCAGATGGGACTGGCGCGGCTGCTGGAGGCGGGAACGCCCCCAAAGTAGCGCCGACTCCTAATTGGCTGCTGCCGGTCGCCCGAGCTGGGCTGGAAAGCTAGGGTTGGGCTTTTAAAGGAGCTTGCCAGTCAAACCCCTAAGTGCTCGCTTCCTGATCCTTGCCCCCTACGCATACTAGGTGGAATCCTCGTAACCCGCCGACATGTCTCAGGTACAACACACTCCTAGTAAATCTGTGAGGATGCAGCGGAGCGGGAGGCCGGGGTGGGAACTCTCCCTTTGATGCCGTGCAGTTCCTCCTGGACCCATTCCCATCCCTGATGCTTTTCAGAGCCTTGTGAGCGGAACTTTCCGTTGGAGGTTTTATCTGCTACCCTCGCTGCAACTGCTAAAAAGTTGCCCGACGGGTGGGCTTCAGGGTGAGGCAGGCATAGGGGTGGGAGGCAAGGGTCCTGGATAGAAAGAGGGGGCGATTGGATGTTGCAGGAGTTGGAGGAGCAAGGACAGAGTCTCATCCGGAAGTGAGCAGCAGGACAACCGAGTCGGTGGCTCGGCGAAGTAGGAATTCAAGCTTTGGCTGGGAGTTTGAAGGTCTTGGAAATTAGGAGCCAGTGCCTGGAGTGTTGAGAGAAGAGAATCGTGGTTCTGGAGAGGTGACCCAAAGGCCTTTATTTCTGCCCACCAGGGTAGACCCTTGTCTGGGCCGAGCTATGTGGAACGATCTCTGGCTCCTCCCACCTGCCTGTCCCCAATCTGCGCACTGGGACAGAGGTCAGCGCTGAACTCCCAGGCCCTAGGGGCAACGACCAAAAGGCTCCTGCAGCCATCACCTCTGTATTGTTGCCCTGATCCCTTAGCAGTTTCTCTGCACCCTCTGCCCGAAGGTCAGCTTCACTGGTGCCCCAGCCATTCCCCTGTCTGGTCCCATGGTTGCAGCTGGCCATGCTGCTGTTCCATGGCCTGTACACCCACTGGGGCCAAGCCTTGGCCTCCTTCACACTATTTATGACTGCCGTAGTAGGAGAGAGGTTGGGGATTGAATGAGTGAACTGATGTGCTTTCCCCTTCTTCTTTTACTGAATATAGCCACCCTGTGGAGAAAGGAGAGATGCTTGAGAGAGCTGCTTCTCCTGGCCTGCATGGCAAGAGAAGGGCTACTTTTCCATCCTTCCTGTCCCTGGGTACTGTTCAGGCAAAGCCAGGAATCCTTCCCTATCCTACTTAGAAATGGCCTTCATTTCTCTCTCCCTTCTTCCCACTAAGGCCGAGTTTGAGAAAGCTGCTGAGGAGGTTAAGCACCTCAAGACCCAGCCAACGGACCAAGAGATGTTGTTCATTTACAGCCACTACAAACAATCCACTGTGGGCGACATAAATACAGGTATGCTGAATTGTTCATCAAAGCAGGCTCTGCTCTTTTGGCTCAGCAACCTTGAGTGAAAGTCTGTGAGAACTGCTCTCTGAAGCCACCTGAGGCCCTACTCTTCAGGAAGGATATGGTCACAGTCTATGGGATGGATTCCTGGGGTTTAAGCTTAGGAGAGTTTTCCCCAAAACTCATCTTCTTGGATCCTCAGTGACTCAAGTAGTAGAATTGCAATAATGTTGTACTATTGGCAGCAGCTCCCTTTGCTGGGGAGGAAGTTGAGGCCCTAGTAGATCTGATGTAGACTCCTTTGCTGAGTTGCATTGCTTCCACCCTAGATGGCTCACACTTGGCATCATTGGCCTTGCCAAGCCTCACAGAGGAGCAGAAAAGCACCTGGTGTCCTGCAGCTTGCCATAAATTTTTTGCTGGTCATAGTCTGTACCTTCCGGATGAATATTTGTTCCTATCCAAAAATCTTGTACACATTTTGAAACTATACTTTGGCCTACCATATTCTGTAATACTATCTTTCCTTCTTGGAGCAGTTTTCCTTCAGTCCCTTAGTCCTTAAGGGTGGTAGTATACAGAGGCAACAGCACAACAGGTTCCCTGCAAGGACACAAAAGTTGGTAGCCATGGCAGATTAGAAGGAAGTGCCTCCCATCTCTTTTTAGGAGGGATAAGCAAGAACCCCAGTTTCACCCAGTTCCACTGGGGAGGTGGTGAAGCAGATAGGGTGGCTGCTGTCTAGATGTAGTGGGAGACACTGCCCAGAGCTAAGGATCATGGACAGTGCCAAATCAAACACTGTAGTACTCTGACGGCTCAGTTAAGAAATAGCTTGTGGCAAAAATGAGCTTTACAATGGTTTGATAAACTGTCCTTTCAGTGGGAGGAAGAGAGATGGCCAGAGGGGATGAAATGTCTTTCTGCCAGATAGTTCACAGAGCCTGAACTGTGTCCAAGCCAGGAGGACTTGCTCTCATAGGATTGTAGGTAGACTGGTGTGGCATCTTACTACCACCTTTTCAGGGAAGTAATGGCTCTCTGTAGGGCTTTACTGTTCAGTGCAGTACAGTAGCCACTACTACCTGTGGCTGTTTACATTTTAACGGAAAAGTTTAATCTGTAGCTACAGGAGCCATATTTCAGGGGCTCTGTGACAAATGGGTCCTGAATTAGACGTTGCAAGTATCATTCCTGTGGTGATAGAAAAGGTTGGCTGATCCTATAATGCTAGGATCCTGATGGTGTCTGCAGGTACAGTCTCTTTCGGCTATCCCATGGAATGCTCTTGGGGGTGGCTGATGCTTTCCCAGGCACAGTGCTCCAGGCTATGGATACTAAGCTGCCCCCCTCCAGTGAAGTTGGTTAGCAGAGTTGGGAGGGAGGGAATGTTTCCCAGCTGTAGATGATTGTAGGCCTGGAAGTATAAAATCAGGGGAGAACTTTAAAAAACCTTGTGCTCTGCTTGAAAAGAAAAAGCAAAACAAGACAAAACAAAACAACTTCCATTAATGAACAAGAAATAGTCTAACAATGTAGGGGAAAAATGGGACCAGGATATGGACAAACAGTTCACAGGCAAGGACACCCAGAAGACTGAATATAAAAATGCATTAGGAAAAGAAATTGGGTGGCAGAGAACAGAGGGAGGGAAGCTTGATAGTACAATGGTGCTGCCATTCACAAACTTAATTCTTCCCACGATTCTAGTTGCAAACCAAATTGGGTGAGAACTGAATCAAATTCAGTGGTTAGGGGCCGGGAATTTAGCTCAGCAGTTCTGCTGCCTGCCTTGCAAGCACAAGGACCCAAGTTCAATCCCTGGTACCAAAAAAAAAAAAAAAAAAAAAAAAAA